ATTGATTGCACCATCATCGATTCATGTCACAAATAAGTCAGAGCTCCACAAATGCTTTGCAAATACACGTATTTTATATGTAACGAGTGTAAATTACACAAATTGGGCTACTGATTCGGTGCTACACATTGACTTAGCAGATTCCCATTATTCATAATTACTTTGGGTTTAAAAGTACGTTGATAGGAGGACATAGGTTAGTGGGCAGATCAGCAACAAATCAATTCAGTGGGGGAAAAAGGTGAAGTTTGGAGAGGAAGGATAAAAGTTCTCTAAGTGGTATACAGTTGCACTTTAATGAAGTGGAGGAAAGACAAAACCGAGGAGTACTGATATAGATTTAACAAGGGGAGAACAAGTAGACAAGAACATCAAAAATAGCGATTGGGAATGCTAGCAAAGGCCATCTTGTGATATTTGCTCAGCGCCTCGAGACATCTTGCCGATGTGAAAGGCGCTATAAAAACACAATTTGTTTCAAGTTTCAACTTTCCTTACTCCACACGGCTGATAATAATCCCTCAAGAAAAAGGAGCAATAACATTTGGTCACGCAATCCACGACTGTTTGTGGGACACTGCTGTGCACAATTGGCTGCCGAGTTTCGCCCAAGAATATACAGCCAATTAATTCACTTTACAGCATAGACTGTAAAGCGCTTTGAGATGTCTAGAAGACGTGAAAAGCGTTATATCAAATGCAAGGATTATTATTATTATTTGTTGTGGTTGTTTGCTATCTTTAATCAGACTTTTGGGATCTTTTCTCAGCTAAGAAATAGCCTTAAAGAAAACTATGTTTGTGAATTTGACTTTCAGTTTACGAATGCTACAGCCTTGCTGAAGATTGAGATTATCCCAATTTATCTACATTTTTTCTTAGTGCATTTGTTAATGAGGCACAATTTCTATCCCAAACATTGAATCACTGTGAGTTCTAGGTTGTGAATACCACATTTTAAGTGTAGTCCAAATATATAAGTACTTCCCATTAATCCTGAATGACATTTTACATCTCGAACCATTATTCATTTGTCCTGATCAATTACAAACCCAGTCATTATCCTAACTTTATCATGCTCTCCAAGTATCAAATCACCCCATGGATCTCACTAAGGCAAAATACTGCAGATGCTGGAAATCTGAAACAAAAACAGAAGTCGCTGGGAACCCTCAGCAAGTCAGGCAACAACATCTATGGATAAAAGAAAGTGAGTCAACTTTTCGGGTCCACGACCCTTCGTCAGGACCGAAGGGTCGTGGTTCTGACGAAGGGTTGTGGACCTAAAACACTGACTCACTTTCCTTTCTCCATAGATGCTGCCTGACCTGCTGAGTGTTCCCAGCGACTTCTGTTTTTATTCCATAGATCTCACTGTTAGGCAGGATAGCATCCGGGAGCACTGCAAAGCACTGCACTCCATATGTCGGTACGTGTGCCCTCTTTCATGTTCCCACTGACCAACCGACTGACAGTCTCTGTATAATAATAATAATCCTTGCATTTGATATAGCGCTTTTCACGTCGGGAGGACGTCCCAAAGCGCTTCACAGAATATACTGTAAAGTGAATTGACTGTATATTTGTGGGCGAACGCGGCAGTCAATTGCGCACAGCAATATCCCACAAACAGTCGTAGATTGAAAATGACCAATTTGTTATTTTATTTTTTTTGGTTTTGGAGGGATTATTATTAGGCGTGTGGAGTAAGGAAACTTGCCCAAGGTTTCGCCCTCTGCCTGGAATGACTCGGGCAATGGTGAAGGGGTACTAGACCAATCCTGTCTTCAGAGGATAACCTCCTAACATGGTTCATTACCCATGAGGGTCAGCTCATCACAACATATTTCTCAGTCCTAGCTCAATTTTCATGGTTAAACATGCTAGGTGTAATAAAACATTTTAAGCTAATGTTGAATTAACACTCAGTACTCTTTCACTTCCGTGAAATGTCTAGTTTTACATATGGTTAAAAAAATGTACCTTTGTCAACAGACCTCCATCGTTTCCAAATTCCAAGAATCAAAGCTTTCCGTCCTGCTTGGCCAGGATCATTTTGAACTAGTTGTAGAAACACTAAGGTAGGAAACCATCCATGTTACACAGGTCTGACATAATTTGTTCCTCCCTTGTGAATACTAGAAATACTGTGTCCACTTCTGCAACAGGGGAAGTAAGATATAGTATCACACAATATTCTTGGGTTGTGGTGGTACTCAATCTTCCTGAAAATGTTCCAGACTTCTTCAACCAACATTGGCTTGTTTAATGTCCCACAGTGTGGCAATTGAAAGACACAATTTTGCTCGAGGCACCTGGCACTTGGACAAGCTCACAGTGACCCCCCCACCACCCCCAGTTGGATGACTCACTGGCTGACAGGCCGGGGAGAGAATTCAGCTTTCACGCTCACTGGTTGGCTTCCTTGTGATCAACAGTCTGTATAATGCTTTGATTATTCAGCCATCTGGATCAGGGTTTCCTAATCTAACAACCTGTAACTCACATGAAAAGCAACTGCTAAAATGCTCTTTAATATCAGCTGACTCAACAGTGTCATATTATCTATCATAGTTTCCTGTAGTTTTTAATCCCCGATTTAAAACAAATTTCAACATGCTTCTGTGGTGAGATATGAATAAGACAGAATACACTGGGTAGTTGCACTTCCTTGTAATTTGCAGCACCTGTAAATTTAGCAGAAAAATATAGGATTTGCATTACATTTGCAAAATCTTAATTTCTGTTCTGTCTCTCACATTTCCTCTTCTTTTTGATCACTGCTAATTTCCTAATTTCCTCCTCATGCTGCTGTTACTTTGTTTTGTTAGACTCCAGTCTTTAAAGCAGTTTCAACTCAGCATGTGCTGGCCATTGTTCTAAAATCGTGCTCATATGCTATTTTTTGCTTCAGTTGGTCCAATTTATCCTTGTCACGGTTTGTCTGGTCTATAAGCAATACACCCCCATGCACTACCTCCTCCTCTCCTGAAAGTGATGAATTTGCTGGGATAAAATTCCATAGGCACCCGTTGACCCCTAGGAACTTGCCAATGCAGCCAGTCTTCATGTGGGAGTTTTAGCAATGCTCCATTGCTCTTTGTGGAGTCCTGTAGCTCAGTGGTTAGAGCACTCGCTTTGCAAGCGAGAGACCTGAGTGAGTTCAATTCCAGGCAGGGCGAAACCTTGGGCAAGTTTCCTTACTCCACACAGAGCCTAATAATAACCCCTCCAAAACCAAAAAAAACAATAATAAATTGGTCATTTTCAATCTACGACTGTTTGTGGGACATTGCTGTGCGTAATTGGCTGCCGCGTTCGCCCACAAATATACAGTCAAATCACTTAACAGTGTATTCTGTGAAGCGCTTTGGGATGTCCTCCCGACGTGAAAAGCGCTATATCAAATGCAAGGATTATTATTATTATTATCATTATTATTTTTCTAACTTGGACGAGTTTGGATTCATGATTTTCTACTCTGAAAATCTCATTCATATCTTAGCAACTCAACACTCATAAACCAGAAGTCGTAATAAACACAATTTTCAATTTTCAACGTATCACATTTCAAGCCTCACTGTTAAAACCCAGCTGTTAGTCAATAGACAGATCACTTTCCGAGAGTAATAACCCCTAAAAAAAATGGGGTCACTCAATCAGTGACTGTTTGTTGGGCACTGCTGTGCGCAAAAAATGGGGTCACTCAATCCGTGACTGTTTGTTGGACACTGCCACGTTTCACCCACAAAATACACAGTTTTTCATGTGAAGTACTTTGAGACATCTCAACAATGTGATAAAGTGCTATATCAAATGCAAGGATTATTATTATAAAACAACTAAAGTCTGGAGTTTAAATTAATATCAGTCTTCTGTCAAAAGCCTACAAATGGATTGGCTCCATTGTGTGAAGGGCTTAAAGCTTGTTGTGTCTGTGGAGTTAAATGTTTTTTTCTGATAAAAAGAATAAGAAGAAAGCAAACAAAAAATGCAGAGACATTTTTTATGTTAAAGTTCATAATACATTAGTCTATTTATTGGTGAAACACAATTTTAGTGCTAAATTCCCCTTTTTGAGAATATGTTTTTAAAAGGCTAGACAATCAAGTAAAAAGAAGTGTTTCTCTTTTATATGTAAAGCAGACGCTAAATTCTCCAACAAATATTTGGTATATATTTGTTGATAGTTTGTTTGACTTTCTGTACATTTCACTTGATGGAAAATTGCAGGAAACATCATTATTTTGAAATTTGCCCCAAAATTTGCTGGCATTAAACTTAACCGACATAATGTCACTGCACATCATCCGGCCTCTCCCCCTGGCTTGTTGTCAGTCTCAGCCACCGTGACGCGCTCCGGGATGCTACCCCACGTGAAGGGTACTATATAAATGCAAGTTGTTGTTGCTGTTGCACACAGGACAATGAGTTTTCCTATTTTGTTGGCTGTTATCAGAATAATCAAAAAAAGATCATTATCTATGACACATAAATGGCCCAAAAAATAACAATCTGATGAAGTTAAGCATTTTTATGACATGTCCAAATCGGCTGTATTTAACAACAGCAACAAGTTGTATTTATATAGCGCTCTTCATGTGGGGTAATGTCTTAGAGCACTGAACCCTGGCACAGCTTGAAATTAAGCTGGGGATCTACATAGGTAAGGGCATTTTAAAATAAATAAAATAATCTTGCTGAATTCTATTTTACATTAGCAAAGCACTAAAGCACGCTTGTTGAAAAAGGTATATTGAATCATAATATACTAAGCACATGTTCTAAAACATGGCATAATTACTTAATTCACTCAGCAGATAGGTAGATAGGTAACAATTCAGGATAAGTATGCAACACAAACTATAAAGATTACTTCTAAAATAAATGATTGCAATCAAAATGTCTAACACTGATCTTAGCCACATCAGTCGTAAGATAAGTGAACTAGATCTCCAATCAAAAACAAGAACAATTATCTTTGCTTATTTTTTACTTACAAAACGAGTGTTGTGTTGGCTATCGGGTTAACTTGCAGCCCATTTAATAAAGCTTCGGAATCATTCACCAGAGCTAGGTTGAACGGTGTATTCATTTGCGCCTTTAAGAGTTGGCTATGTGGCATGAGTTATAAGTTGGAGGTTTGTGATTGGTGGACTGACGTCATGCTCCATGCGTTTCAGATATTGCTCATTCAACTAATATATACAAGCTCAGGAACATCCTGGAAACACACAATAAAAAAAATCTTACTTTCTTTTCCAGTCACATGTTACAGTCTCACTGTGAATGCCTACACCAAAATTGCTGTACTGACTACAGAACATTTAAACCCAAACTACAAATGATGGAAAACTGTAACAGAAGATATGAACTAAATATTAATAAATAATAAAACACTTGCATTTGATACAGCACCTTATCACGCTTCAAAATGTCTCAAAGTGCTTCACATGGTTTGCTGAAAAGTGTGGTGACTATATTTGCAGGCAAATCCAAAACAGCTAAATTGAACTAGATAGATCAGCATTTTCTGAACTACACCCTAAATTCCCATTGCGATTAACATTAGGATCATATCCTCACAAATGTTATTTATAAAAGGATGTGAGCACGTAGTTGTGAGAGTGCTTTGTTGTCAGAAGTGCAATCCTTTGAAATGCTAAACTGAGGTCCTACCCAACTCGGGCCTGAAATGCTGTACTCTGTCCAGCGCCTTGGAACGTCTTCCCGACATGAAAGGCCCTATACAAATGTAATCTTGTTGTTGTTGTTTACCTGCCTGTTCAGGTAAGCACCAAACAAATGATTTTGCAGACTGCTGCTACAGGTAGATATCACCATGGGTCTATTATCTTCCAATGTTGTGATGATAAATTCTATATGAACTATTGTTACCTGCATTATTGCTCCTACATTTCCTCACTGCTTTCTATCTGAAATGCTGCATACTGTCCAGCACCCTGGGACGTCCTCCCAACATGAAAGGCGCTATACAAATGTAATCTTGTTTTTTAGCATAAAGAATTGAGCAGAAGTTGACTTCGCAGTCTTGCACTAGCATATGTAAGCAACGTTTTAATATTTTCACATCATATTCATAGGCACAACACCACACTTGCACAAAGGGACCCACTTTAAATAAGAACCTTTGTTTAATACACAATTTAGTTTCAGCTCCAATAGGTATAGTATATCTGTAGAAAATAGTGTGAATGTATGAGTAGGTGCAAAACTTGTAAACAGATAAATACACATGACAAGGACGCCTGCATTGAAAACATGAGGTTTAAGCAGCATTTTAAATCTTTACATTGTTCGCATTGAAAATGTGCAGTTTTAACATTTTGTTTAGTCTGCACCTTGAATTTTAACTGTGATAGGCACCAATAATTTTATCTGCTTTATTTTGTTCTAAAAGGTGTAAAATAAAAAAAGTTTTTTTTAAATCAATGCAGTTTAGTTTGTAGGGAGAGTGAGAAACATCAATGTATGTATGTATGTATGTATGTATGTATGTATGTATGTATGTATGTATGTATGTATGTATGTATGTATGTGTGTGTGTGTGTGTGTGTGTGTGTGTGTGTGTGTGTGTGTGTGTGTGTGTGTGTGTGTGTGTGTGTGTGTGTGTGTGTATGTATGTATGTATGTATGTATGTGCAATGCATAATATGTGCAAAAATGTCTAACTCAAGGAGACAAAAGAGTTCTCTCTTTAACATCATCTGACAAGGACAGCACTTTACTTAAAAGGGTGTTCAAAAAGCATCATATAATATTCCCTAATTTCATCATAACTTCTGGAAATGTTCATCATCTCAAAAGTTTGACCTTTAAACGAAATGTTACAATACATTTCAAAAAAATATTTCAAATTCAAGAAGATACAGAGAAACATGTATAACGTAATTGGAATGGAACAGAAAACTGTCCTGATAAATGGGCAGGAGGAGTTCAAAATTATTTGTTTTTCCAAACGAAAGAAATACAGCGAGTCAAGTCAGTATGCCTTTGAACTTAACACCACCAGCATTCGAGATGATGATTAGATGGCATAGCACAGCAGGATGTTTTAGATCTTATTAATGACATATAACAAAGTGAATAGGATTCTTTTGAACTCAACACTAACAGAATGTGAGCTGGTGAGAAGATAGGAGAACAGGATCTCACATTAGCAGCACTCCATTCTCTTTCTTATGCTAGCTTATCACTGCGGCAACAGAGAGCCCATTCAAAAATATTGAGTGGGTGGGAGACATACTGGCACATAAAGAACAAACTCCCACTCTTCACCCGGGTCTGTGCAGCAGCATCTGGCAACATATTATCTCAAGTTCTTGCTTCAATAATGACAACGTAGGGCTGCATGAAATATACCTAACAAAAAATAATTCATTAAATCAATAAATATATAGTCCTTACATTTAATATTGCTTTTGACATGCGGAGAACATCTCCAAATCCTTACAGGAAAGACTGTAACGTGAGATGACAGCAGGTGAAGCACTGCCTCATCAAGGATTTCAGGATTGCTGGAGCAAGGCAGTACCGGTCTGGGAGCAAGGCCAGTGGGAGAGAAGCCAAGACATTGCCCAGCCTCAAAGGACCTGTTATCACGGTAACACAATAGCTTGGTTAGGCAAGCTCAGATTGCCTTATCTGTCAAAAAGGTCACCAGCCACCATTGGGTAATAGTGTATTTCTAGGCAAACGTGGCAGACAATTTTCACACAGTGTTGCCCACAGCACAGCCATGAAGTAAATAACCAATTTTATTTGGGGAGTTGTAGGCTAAGACATTGGAAGACACTCCTTTCTCTTTTTAAATAGTACCATGGGATCTTTGAGATCCACCTCAACAAGCAGATGGGATTTTGGTTTAATGTCTCATCCAAAGGACAGCACCAACAAACAATGCAGCACACCCCAGCGCTACTTTGGAGTGTCAGCGTGGACATGGAGACTTTGAGCTCACAGTCTAGTCTAACACTCCAGTGCAGTACTGAGGGAGTGTTGAATTGTTGGAGTTGCAATCCTTCGGATGGGACGTTAAAGTGAAGTCCTGTCTGCCCATTCAGATGAACTTTAAACATCCCATGCATCTATTCAAAAAAAGATGGGAGTTTCTTCCAGTATCCTGGCCAAAAATTCCTGAGGTAAAATTGATCATTCACTGGTTAACTGTTTGTGGGACATTAATGTGCGCATTTGACTGTTGGGGTCACCTACAAATACCTATTCATTACAGTTCACAGTAATATTCTTATGAAGCATTTTGAGATAGTCTCAATGATGTGATAACAAGTATAATATAAAATGCAAGGTTATGATTAGAGTACTTGCATTTAGTAAATCTTATACGTAATAATGTTCCCTTATCTTTAAATAGATTAAAGCTTAGTTAAATAATACATTAATTGTACCTTTCTAGTGTTATACTTTTTTTCTGAACTACTATTTAACCTAGCTGAATACTTGTTTCTGACTGCGAGGTAATAAACACAAGTATTAATAAGTATCAATAAACATATTTAAGGATAAATACATGCTTGGAAAAAAAAGCATGCGTGTGAAATTACACTACCTCAAATTACACTACCTTATGATCAGCTTTAAATGCTATAAAACCCTCCAATAGTTATTCACTTCAATTCAATTCAATTCCCAAACGTAACTCAATTCAGACATTTTGTAGTGTATACCTGACATAAACTATTATGATTACAGAACTAATATTGTATTTTGCAATATCTTAAATTGTTTGTCACATCGCATGTCTCGTGTCTATCCTCACAAAAATATGTTTAAACCTCAACTGTTTGCTTTTCTGTAGCTAGTTGAATTGAGCTATTACACATGTGCATTCAATCACTGCTTCCATGATTACCAGCAGGCATTTGTATATACAGCTATAAATGTCTACTTCCCACTGAAATCTGAGTGACAACTATACCACAGCTCTGCTGGAAACTAATAACTCTTACCTTTTCCATTCAGCACTCAGTATCTAGGGTATATTTTGAGCTTTTCACTTAACAGCTATTATAGCAGTGTCTGAATAAGTTTACGGTGAAAGACAAATGACATTAGTTTATTTTTTCCTGTTACTTGCATGGAACTTTCCTTCCAATTAATGGCCAGCAAAAAGCAGCAGACAATGCAAAATGGCCCATTAAAGTTGATGACCAGAATATTACTCTTATTTTAAATTCAGCTTTGAATATGGTGCTTTATTCATTTTGCAAACTAAAATCAACATCAGTTGGTATCATTCTCAAGTCTAGATCAGAAGGTTGTGGGTTCAAGTCCGAGCTCACAGTCTAGGCTGACTATTGACTGCACTGATCTGCAGGGGATACTGGAAATTGAGAGTAGACACAGAATCATCTCTTGTCTCATTCCATAGTCTCACAAATTAGATCTTGGATGTCAGTCATATATATTAATCTTTAATATTAATTTTGACTAAAAATATGCTCTAGAAGTTTTTAAAAAATGGATAGTGATTCCTTTGTACATGGAATAATGGGAATTATTCAATAGATTTCATTTAAATTATGCATTTTAATGCATTGGAGATCAAAATAAATAGATTAATGCACCCAGAAATGTAGTGGTGATTTGTTCACTGTCTTTTTGGGTGGAGGCCGCTCACAGTGGCTGTCCTGTGCTCAACTATCATGATTTTATCATTAACCAGTTTAGTTGCTACGTAAAATGCCTTGAAGAGGAAGCAATAACAAGTTTGGTTGCTAAGCAGGATGGCTTAAAGAGAAAACATGTTTGCGCTCTAACAGTTTCAGGCTACCATTTTAAGCCTTCACATTACTGTAGCGTTGAGTCTTTCTCAATGTTAAAAGAACAAATGGGAGAGGCACCAATATTCTCGTTGCTCTTTCGCTATTGCTGGTGCTGCTGTTATTCTGGATTGCGAAAATTTCCGGATTAATTGCATAATTAATCTGGAAATTATGCAATTAATGATTATGATCAAGTTATGCAATTGTTCCGATTGCATAATTTGATCATTAGATAATATTTCACACCAATATAATGCTTCTTTAGTTCATATTCTTAAAAAAATCTCCCTCCCCTTCCCCCCCA